CAGTAAAATGCCAGACTCTTATTGCATCGTTTGTGCTTAAGACAACTTCTGCTGCTTTCTAGTGAATTGTTTTTTGTGGAATGCAGCTTTAGAGTGGTGTTATTAAAAGGTGTTTGAAGCTGTTTTTATAGCCAAGCAAACGTGTGAAAACCCTGTAGCATTACTTCCTGCCCCTTTTTCCTCTGTGTTGCTGAAGCATTGCCACCAGTAATATGGTTTGGTCTCTGTGTCTCTGTGATGTTACTGTGTGCAGATTCATCTTTGAGGTATAATTCCTTTAACTGTGTATTTCCACTGGCATTCAGAGCTTTGCATGTTTTCCTGACTATATAATTTTAAAAGTGACAGATTTCTCTTGAAATTTTAAGATGATGATCTTAAACTGGCAAATATTTTAAATAGTTCCATTGGCTTCTGTTAAGTCTGGTATCTGGGATTAAAACTTTTAGAATTATCCAAGTGAGGATGATATAAACCATTTAACTTCGTTTCCAGAATATATCGATTTCTGTGTCAAAAAAGGTCATTTTTTGCATTTGTTTCATAAGCAGATCAATTATTCACTATGTTAAAACCAGGAAAGGACCTATAAATAGCATCCAAGACACTGACAGTCAATTGCAAAACTCCAGTAATGAATGTAAACAGTTGCAGTGAAAATGTTGATCTTTGTCACTGTAAGGTTGGGGGTTTTTTCATTCCTCATAACAAGTGATACTTCTGTTTTCATGATTCCTAACTTCATGAAAAAAAATACTTTATGCTTCTGTATAAATGCTAACTCCACTGTTTCAGAAAAATCACAATGACAATTTTCTGAAAGATATGATAGGTGAGGATGTGTTCCCCTAATAAAGCTTTTGCTTTGCAGCTGAGAACAGACAAGTCAGAACATTCCCCTGAAAACAGCATACATTTTTTTCTCTTTTTTTTAATTCTATGGGAAAGTAAGGAAATTCTGGCTTTATCTCTGCTAAGCAAAAGGAAGCTAAAAAAGTTTAAAAAAAAATCTCTGCAATCTCTGCTCTGTACAGCTGACAGTTGAAACACATGGGATAATTTACTCAACTTATCTTTTAAATTCTCAGAAAACCCCCAGACCCTAAATTAAACCTTCTCCTAGACACCAGTGCACTGCAGCAGGACACTGTCAGGCAAGGAAAGAGCTGGGACAGTAACTGCTCAGGGCTACTTTCATACAAATGTCATGATGACGGTTGGCTCAATTGTTCTTGTCCTTTTGCAATGCATGCGACTTTATGGCAGTAGGTTACATTTCCAGACGGGCAATGCTTCAGCAATTACATGGAATCAGTACATTCTCACACGACGAGCGTCACTATACTGCTCGCACATGGATGAACAAAGGTAAGACTCAAAACCACTGGCTTCGTTTTTAACCTGGCATGTGGGTTGAAGTGTCCTGTGTATTTCTGTCGGTGAGGTGGGCAGCAAGTTAGAAGATTTGCAGTTGCTTTTAAATCAGAAGACTTCTGTTTGTGTGCTGCTGGCTCATAGCTCAAAGTTAACAACCAGTCCAGTGCCACAAAGGAAGTTGGTTCCTGCCTTTCCATCTGCAACTCTTTAACCCAAACCATGCATAGGAAGGGGCTGAATGAAAACATTTTGAAGAAAGCAGGATTACTGTTAGGAGAGTAGTGGTGTTTATATTGTGTGGTCTTAACACATGGAATGCAACTTTTTGAAATGCTCTGACTGAAGGTAGCAATGCTTTTGTTCAGAGCTGTGCATTGTCTAACATCCTGAACAGCAGCATCTCCCAAATTGTAGTCCTCCATTAGCTCTCAGGGAACACTGGACCCCTCTGATGGTGCTCTCAGTTCCTCTGCTGCTACCTGCAGAAATTGCCTGGAGACTTCTTTGGGAAAAAAGAAGAGCCAAGAAATCCAAGTCTACAAGACAAAGAGGAAAAAGGATATGGTGGTCTGAGATGGCTGTGTGGGAGCCAATGGATCCTGGGAGTTGGATATGTGCTGGGAATATTGGGAATACTGGGCTTCCTCAAAGCGAGGGTCAATCTAGAGGCAGAAGCACATTTAAGAGAAAGTGTCATGTAGCAGGATGTTCTGCAAGGAGGAGAGGATGAAAAGAGCACTGAGTAGCCTTTCACAGGTGAATGTCCTGTCCCCTTACAGAAGCAGAGGGTCCAAATAAACTTTGATCTGGGTTACAAGGAGTACCTGGAAGTGGTCCTGGTTCAGACTTCTGCAAAAAGATGTTGTAGCTGACATTCTTGCTACACCCATCATGCAGAGTGAGAAAAGGAAAATATACGAAAAAAAACCCAGAATATGATGATTGGGTTAGGGATTGCTACAGACCGGCAGGTCAACTTTGAGAAGACGGAATGTCATTTTAAGACATAGCAATCATACTAGCAAAGGATATGCCATGGTTTTAAAATTTCTTGAAGGCTGTGCTTTTATGTTTCTCTAGGATACAATAGAGTGGTTTCTAGATAAAGAATTTGGGGTAGAATCTTTTGAGAACAGAGTCCCAGGAAACAAGCCTTAACTAAATTTTATCCTGAAACCTAGGAAAAGCAGAGATTTCTACCTTGCTTTAGAGCTAGTCAATAAAGTTACATAGCAACTGCAGCCTTTGCTGTTCAGATATGTTTAATGACAACAAATTTTGACATATGTCTTGCTGATCTTTGGATTTTCAGTTTGAGTAGTGCATTTAATAGAAAATGGCACAGTATGTTCCCAAAAGTATCCCAAAGATTCTATCTGTTAGTGTCAGTTTTGCAGAGATGTATTAGTTAACTGTACTGCACAGGAGTGAGGAACATTTCTTGTTAATTTAGGGAGGGAGAAAGCTTGATGACATATGCAAATGGCACATCATATATTTTAAGTTCTGTGTTTGTCGCCTACACTAACTGCATTTGTCCTTTCAACATCTTTCTTAGTTTGAGCCCCACCATATTTGAATTTTATGTGACTGTGATATTAATACACCTGTTAAAGAGAAAATTAATTACATAATAACATTTTTTTTAAAAAACGAGGTAACCTTTGGGAGGATGATCTCTGCCTTGAAATTACTGTCTTCCTTTCTTTACCTGGCAGCTGTCACTGCTCAGGAAGGAGCTGGGCCAACTAGTCCACTGCAGGAGAAGTACAAGTGCTTGGGGTTATGGGAGACACTAATTCTCAAGGTATCAGAAGCTGTGTTTGTAGATGTACCAACAATCCCAGTTTTATGCAGCTACACTGAGCAGTACCGAGACAGAACTAGAGAGCTACAACAGTGCCTACGTGAAAGTGAAAACGGGGTGAGGGCAGGGTTTGGAAGTTCAAGTAGACATAAGTTTCTCTTCCATGAGAGTGGGACTGAAGTGCCAATGACAGCTATCTTGTGAAGCTCCTGTTTGACAAGTTACAGATGACCTCAAAGAACCAAAGGTGGCCCAAGCGTGGAAGAGCAGCAGGAGAATTTGCCCTCATCCCTGCGTGCCAACTTTTAAGGTAGCATACGTATGTAGTAATGCTTGGTGCAATTCCAGTAGTGCTTTCCCATGGTTCTCTCCAGTCTTCCCCAGGCAGCTGTGGTGAAGAGGACGACTTCAGCAGTTTGCACTGAGGCATCTGTGTAGGGGATTACAATGCTGCAATATGTTGTCTGAGGAAGAGGTTCACCAGCAAAAACGCTGCTTCTAGTGGAGAGCAGGAGCCACATATACAACACAAGGCTTAATTCAGTTCTAAGTTGGACTGTGTGAGAAAGTAATTTTCTAATTTTATTCCTCGACAATAGCAGAAAGTATTCCTCTTTCCAGACAGTTCTGTTGGCTCTGAAGAGATGAGTCTCTTCTGAGCTATACAAAGGATAATTTCCTATCAGATACAGATCTACTTCATAGTGATAGGTTCAGAACCAAGCCCTTTACCTCAGATCCAGTAGCTTCAATTATTTCTCCATCTCCAGGCCCTCCTGGCCAGTTTTTGTTGTTGCAGAAGAGCATACATAGGGTTTCCAATGATCTAACCCCATTTTTGACTACAGGTTGGTAAACATCAGCACTGGCACAAACTGTTTTGCTAGCAGCCAGCCCTACTCCCATCTTCCTTCTGGCTCCTTTCCTCTTCATTAACTTTTTAGCCTCAGTGTGTTTTATAGCCTCCATTGTGTTGCCACTGACAGTTCCTGCTAATGCCAGTACTTCCTGCCTGGCACTAGGCAAAGCAAAGCAGAGATCCTTATCGCCTACAGCAGTCAGACCCTGTTCATTGCTACCTTTCTCTGAAAAGCTCAGAGAGATTCTCTGAACCTGTGTACTTGCAGTGAGGACAACACAGCTCTGTCTCCAGCTGGCTCTCCACGTTGCCTGCTAAAGCTTGGGCAGGAAGATTAGCCAGTCAGTGCCAGCTCACTCTGCAGTTGTTGCCAAGGGCACAGAGCAGGTTTCTCACTTCACTCCCTGGGAAGCCAGAGTCGATTTTGGTTATGGGCTCAGTTAAGCAATGGGTGTCTGTTCCCCAGAGAGCAGTTATTAATAGCTTGACAATAAACAATGGCTGTGAATGCAGTGCTAGAACATCCTAGTGATGGTAACAAGAGCAGAGCAAAGGACACGTGCTGTGAAGTTGGTAATGGCATCTCCCTTCATGTCCTGCAGCAATGAGATACATGGATTAATTTTAAATGCATTGGTAACACATGGATCTAAAGTTATTTTGTGCTATTTAGAACAAGTCCTTTGAGCTAAGGCTGTTGTAAATTCTAATTAGTCTATGCTAATCTCCATAATAAGCAGCTATTTCTAATGCAGATCTAACTGATGAGGTCTGACAGCATTTTCCACACTTATTTATACAGTGGCAGCAAGCTGGTATCGTGCTAGTGTCAGAATGTTTGCTCAGGTTACGAAAACTGTATGTTCTGTACCCTACAGGGAGTTTGTATTTTCTGCAGGCTTGCTCCTGTTCTTGGAACACCAATTTATGCCTGTTTGCTTGTATTTATTTATGCAGAAAATAGGGAAAACTCCTTCAGCCGTTCCCGAAGCTCCAGCGTGTCCAGTATCGACAGGGACTCAAAGGAGGCAATTACAGCTTTGTACTTCATGGAGTCCTTTGCCCGAAAGAACGACACTGCTGTCTCCCCCTGTCTCTGGGTTGGAACGGGCCTCGGTATGGTTTTAATCCTCTCCCTTAATCTGCCTGCTAGCGACGACTTACGGCAGTCAGAGCCAGTCATGGTGTCACCAAGTGGTAAGAGTGCAGCTCTTTTTCTGTTTGTTATCTATCTTGGTACGACTGGGGATATAACTGCATGATTGGGCAGAAATTTCTCAATATATGTATTAAGCAATGGTCACTCGCTACATGCAAGGCACACAAGTAAAAGTGCCCATGAGGGACCTGAAGCTTCATGGACTGAGACACTTTGGTTGTGTTAGTTCTTGTGTCATGGGCAAAGTTTAATGTTTCTTGTGAGGACGGGGAAATTAGCAGAGTTCCTTCATATTGTGAAATTGCAGTTCTTTGTGCAGTCCTGTCTGGGATGCTGTGACAGTTTGGCTGTCTCTCTTTCAGAAAGCTGCAGAGAAGCAGAAGGGAGTTCAGGAAAGGAAACAAAAATGTTGGCAGGTTGCTGTACCAGGAGAGATCCTTGGCTGAGCGAGTGACAGATGGTGTAGCAGAGAGAACAGAGGGCTGAGAGAGGTCAGGTCTGAGGAGAGGCAGTATGTGCTTAAAAAACGGACAGAAGAGCAAATAATGCACAGGAACAGAGATTTCCCACCCACACTTTGTTTAGGAAAAACAATTCTGGAAGGTCATCAGACTAAGAAGAGCAGTTTTACTGCTGGGGAATAAATATCCTACTAGTATAATGTAGAGATAAACAGGCTATCTTTATGGTATTCAATAGCATGTATTATATCCACTATTATAGATATTGGCTGCCTGATACTTTTTCAGGCTGTTTGGTCTCCTCCTTGTGTAGTCAGAAAGAACTGAGCAAGCAAGACTTGTCACCTCAGCTAGATTAATGTGTTTGCTCTGTTTACAAAAGCTGAATGTCAGCTGCGCTGCACGCATTTGCAGCACTGACAACCAGTCTAATTGTGGTGCCAGTGTCAGTGAGAGCAAATTATGTTCTGCAGGCACTGTTCTGACACTGAAAGGAGCCGTGCTGACCTTCGCGTGCTTGGACTGCATGGGGACACTGACACATCCACCGTATGAAGTATGGAGGGATCCACACAGTGCTGATGACGGTGAAAAAACAAGGAAAAGGAAACTTGTCATGCATTCCCCTTCCTCCTCCCAGGATATGGGTGATCATCAATTTGCAGTCATTTGTTCAGAAAAACAAGCCAAAGTCTTCTCATTGCCTTCCCAAACATGTCTTTATGTCCACAACATCACCGAAACGTCCTTTTTATTGCGAGCAGATGTGGTCACCCTCTGTAACAGCGTCTGTCTGGCGTGCTTTTGTGCCAATGGGCACATCATGACACTGAGGTACTTATCTAACTAATCTTGTGGCAAAACTAAGCAAAGAGGTGGCACAGTGCCACCACATTCCACACGTGTTTGGTCCTGAGTGCCTGATGCTCTGCATTAACTCCCCGGTGGGTGCATTTAACTCCCTGCCTTGCCACAGCCAGGCCTGTTTCTTGGGCTGCCTCCATGTGGGGAGTTAAGGCAGGGGCACAGCAAAGCCAGCTCCTTTTTTTCATAGAAATCCTGTACCTGTGACTGTTGATGGCTCATGGTTTTTACCTATTGTAAAAGAAAACTGATAATTTTGCTCAGTTATGGGGGGTCAGGTATAGAGGAGTATAGAACTCACCATAGCAGGATACTGTTTATCCCATGTGAAGTAGCAAGTCCCACTCTTGCCTTTTCTGGAGACTTCCTGTTCAGAGCACCTGGTTTCCCTTCCTTGTCACCTCCCCCAGGGTGCCGACTGTGCAGTAGCCCTATGGTTATACCCTCATGTTGCTGCACCCCCTTTCCCTGGCTAGGCCATTTAAATTTTAGAAAGTGCTGTCTAAAACAGCAAACCATGAGAAGCTGGAGGACAGCAAAGGCGATGCTGGAGCCTTTGTCCACAGGTTGGAAGCAGGGCCCTGCCATGCCATTTCCTGCAGATGTCCCTGGGTAACTGGGGACAAGCCTTACCCTACAAACTGCCCAGCCACATGGCACAAGCTGTACTGTGCCACATGCACATCCCAAACCCAGACAGTAGCAGAAGCCTTAGGGTCATTGAGGCAAGGCAGGTGAAACTTCTCTATTCAAGCAAATGAAGTATGATGAGAAGACAGCATGTTTATGGCAGAATTTTTCAGCTTAGAGCTACGTTTAAGTGTTCCAGTTATGAAAAGCATAAACTTAAATGTTGGTTTAAAATGCAGCCACAGAGCAGGTATACCTGTGTGGTATCTGGTGAGTAACCTGGCAATCTGCTTCTTTTCAGTTTGCCCAGTTTTCGCCCACTGCTGGACATGAACTATTTGCCTGTAACAGACATGAGGATAGCACGGACCTTTTGCTTCACTAATGAAGGGCAGGCTTTGTATCTCAGCTCTCCCACAGAGATCCAGCGCCTGACATACAGCCAGGAGATGTGTGACAATCTACAGGTAGGGCTCAAACTCTTACTGTGGTGCCTTTGTGTGGGAGGGCCAGTGACCTGACTCGTCAGGGGTAAACTGGCACACATCTACTGCTAGACTTTGGCGTTTGAAATGAAGGCTGTGCTGCAGGAGCAGGACAGATATGTTCCTCTCCACTTGCCCTGACTGAATGATGCCAAAGCAACAGAGAGAGGTCAGCAGCTCTATTGTTCTTTGGGCTTTTTCATGCACTGTCACTTGCACCTAGCAAAAGTGCAATAAGTGCAATAAGTCTTTACAATGTTAGATATGGGCTGGTTTGGGGTCTTCTTTACAATGAAAATGCAAATGAAAATGTCATTTACTGAAGAGAAGGAATTGTGAGAGGTTACAGGGAGAAACGTGAGTAATAAAAGGGAAAAAAAAAAGAGGGGGGAATAAGTTCTAGGTTATATAATTAGCAGTAAACTAGGATGGAAATATAAAAGAAATAGTCCTGCCAGCACTCATTATGCCCTAGGGAATGACATGTGCTGAGCTGCTCAGCTTGCATCACTGTCTGTCTCAGGTCTGAAAAAGCACTGTGAGGAGTGAGCATTGCACACAAGCTTTTGCACATCAGAGAAGGGATTATTTTGTAGGGAACCGATTTTAAAATAATCAAAAGGTTTGACTGATGTATCTTAGACTATGGGCCTACAGTGAGAGGCTGTTACCAGCCAGATTTAATTTTTTTTATTAGCCTTAATAGCATCACACAACAACCAAACCAAGGGAAATTAGGCCCTTGCTTCTATTTACTGCTGGACTAGGGCTGCTTTTATCTTTAGTTTTATGCAAAAAAAGGTTTGCACAGTTCTTATATGTGTACAAAAAGCAGATGACCCAGTATCACATGCTACCTAGGAAAACAAAGCTAGGCTGCATGAGAGCCTCCACTTAAGCTCCAAGGGCTGCAGTAATTTCTCTCCCCAGAGCAGGTGACTGTGCAGAGGAGCAGTAAGTGTGAGTCACAGCGCTGTCCTAGCACTCAGCCTCCCAGGAGCAAGTGCTTTGTGCAACACAACAGCTGTATCTGCCTGTTGGGGCTTGGATGAGCAAACACAGAGCTGAGCAACAGGGCAGCAACTGTTCCCAGTGCACACAGCCTCACTGGTGTCAAACACTACTGGGACTGCACACTTTCTTCATCAGTTTTATTTCAGAGAGCTGGCTTTTCCTAGTACTGCTGCAAATAAATCTGAGCCTGAGATTTGTTTGGGTCAACTGCTCCAAGATGGAACAGTCACCATGACAGTGCCTTATTTAGCATTATTGATGGCACAATAACAGTGGGAAGGTTGTATGGAAGGTAAGGGGTTTTGTTTAAAACAAAACAACAAACAAACCCTACGGTAATCAAACAAACAACAAACCACCAAACTCTCTGAACTGCTATCAAGCACTGAATTCAGGTATGTTATAAAAAGCAGAGTGACTGCCCAGCTTGCCTGGGTAATCACTAAAGCAAACCAAATAATAAACAACAAATTGTTTATTCAAGTATAGTGTCACCTCTGCAGTTTCTAAGCAAAATGTGATCTTATCATTGGTATTTTCATCCTGCACTACTTAAAATTTTTTGTCTCTGGTAAAGAACATGGGCGTGGGCAGTGACAAGCCAAGTGCCTTTGAAAGCATGAGTGAATCTAGTTAGCCCAAGCATTTGCCTGCCAGGAAACATGAATGTTAAGTACACCATAGTATTCACACAACAGACTCTTTTTAAAAACTAGTTAATTAAATCCAGTGCATGTGGCTTGTTAATGCAAATAAAGAAAGCACCTAGGACTGGTTTGACCTCATTAATTTTTCACATGGACATTTTGCTGGCTTTGCTAGGACATGCTTGGGGATTTGTTTACTCCTGTGGAAACACCTGAAGCCCAAAACAGAGGTTTTCTCAAAGGACTTTTTGGAGGAAGTGGACAAGCTTTTGACAGAGAGGAGCTTTGTGAGTAATTTATTGGGTTGGGTTTTTTTTTTTGGCAGAAAGTCATTCACAGGACCACCCTGCCCTTGTCATCTAGGAATGGAGTCGTACATGAGATTTAAATCATCTACAGAAAGTTGACAAAATGAAGGGAGGGGAGGGTCCTTGGTTGCCTTCCCATAATTCCTTCACCTTGGAAGTTTCTTTTGAGCAATGGAGGGAGGGGCACCCGACTGCACTGTAGATGTGCTGGTGGCAGAGCAATGTCTTCCACATGTGCCATCTGTCCATCAAATGGCATCACTGCTGCAAGGCTGCAGCGGGAGATTGAGAAGCACTGACAGAGCCACAGCCAGGAACTTATTCCTGTCTGTTTGTCCCTGTCTCCTTTGCAGTTGGCGAGGCTACGGCAGGAAAAGCCTCTCGCAGTCTCGCCCAGCACATCCCTGGATCAGGTGGGATTGAAGGCGTGAGAGGAGCTGCGGGAGGAGTCATTGGGGACTTGACTCGTGCACGCATTGCCCTTGATGAGAGAGGACAGAAACTGGGAGAGCTGGATGAAAGGACTGCAAGCATGATGGCCAGCGCAGAGGCGTTTTCCAAACATGCACACGAGGTAGGGCCCTGGCACCATACACCCAAAACTAAGAACTGCCAACCCTGCAACTGAGCCTTTGCTTCCCTTTGGGAAGGTAAAGTGCAGTTCTCTCCCTTCACCCAGTCATGTTGTTAGAGGTTGTACTCCTGTTAACTGACAGACCATTTTTCCTCCTCCCAAACAATGAGAATGCCAAATATAAACTTCCATTGCACGCCCCTTCCTTTCATGTTTCTGTAAATGAGCATCCATTGTTAGCCTCTGAATTTAGAACGTGGCACTTCTCATCTTGCCTTTCTCACTAATTCATTATGATTTGTTTTTTTAAGCCACTTAATGCAGCACATCTATGCAGTAGGGCAGAAAACAGGTAGGTGGATGTGTATATAGGAATCTTATCTTACTGGGAAGAGGAGGAGAACATTACTAGTACAACACTGTGGTACAGTTATATAGAATAGGGCTTGGCTGGAATAGACAGCTTCTGTGCTTAAATGGAAAACCTCTTCCATCCCACGCTGATAAGACTGGGAATCAACTAAAGTGATTTTTCTTGAAGACAAAACAACATTAAAGAATACTTCCCAAAATGCACGTTTTTTCATTTAATGTGCATCACATCTCTGTACAAGACCTTTACATTTTTATTGGCTTTTGTTTGTGTGAGGCAGGAATAATGTGCCCCAAAATGCAAAAAGTTTGTATATTCAGAGCATATCTACTATGCTCCATAGATAGGCTTCTTTCTATACAAATAAAAAGCAAGTTCTTGATTATTGCCATACCTTTAGTTTTTGAAGAAGAAAAGTAGTTAAAGCTCCTTGGGGAAAAGCTAACAAATATCAATAGCAGGTAACACATTTTTCATGTAATAACTATGAAATTAAATATGAGATCTCAGTGGACTCAAGACCTGATGACCCTGATAGTGAAGTACTGCATTGCTCTTTTTAATTATGAAGTTTGTGACAGCTAATGGGCCTAGGTCATGTGTGGTACCTCATAGGTAGGGCAGTGTTTTATATTGCCATTTTTTGGTTTTTTTCCCATTTCTGTAGGTGATGCTGAAATACAAGGACAAAAAGTGGTACCAGTTTTAGACTTTCAAAGAAGCTGCTTTTGGCTTTATTAAGAACACTGTTCAGGGAAGCAACATTAATTCCCAAATCTACCAGTCACTGGCCAAAGACAGCTTTTTTCTCCTAGAAGATGTTTTCCTGTTACTATTATTGGATTCATCACAGTGGACGTCAAGGAGAAATTTTACAGACCGTGAGATGGAAGCTGGAATCATGAGAGTCTTATTCCAACAGCTGGCTCATGCAGTGGCCCATTTTTTTCCAAAAGGAACTCAACCATCACTGTGGCATGTAGTTTTTCAGAAGCTGTAGGTATGAGCTGTGGGGGGTGTGTCTGGTTAAAAATATTCTGTACAAACTCGAATGTTAATGCACTTATAAAACTTTGCATGACTAATTGCCATCTTAAAAAAAAAAAAAAAAGAGAAAAAGAAAGCATGTTGTGACCGAAGAAAATGGGATTCATTTCTATTCTGAGAAAAAAGAAATTAAATAGCAAAAATCTTTATTTTTTAAAAGTGACATTATTAAAAGCCAGTACATTTCAAGCATGTTTGCTACCATTTTCCACATAAAAATGAGTTGAGCTGCATTTTCTTATCTGCTATTTATTTCCCTTGAAAAACCTTGCTTGAAATCAGTGCTCTTTAACTCCTAAGAAAATAGATTCGAAATCCTGTGCCCAAAATTTACAGATTTTACAGGTAGCTGAACAGGCACTATCTGAAACATCATTAAAACATGAGCATAGATGGTTTATTTGCAATTCAGAGCTCATGACACGTCATCCTTATCTGTACTTTTTAAAATGCGCTCCAGATTCATCTCAGTTGTCCTTGAAGGGGGCCACGGCACTTTTCATCCCCATGGAGTCTGTATCACTTGGTTGCCTTATTTCTCAGTAGCAGGAATAGAAAACCAGTTTTGGAAACCACTTCTTCAAGTTAAGAAAGGCAATATGGGAAACCACAGTCCTGTCAAATTCTGCTCACGGAGGCTGCTTAGCAGCTTGCAGAGCAGTGATGCTGCTCAAGTGCTCAGCTGAAATTATGTGAAGGGACCTGCACAGTAACCCCCTCAAAACTTGTGTGAGAGAGAGAGAGAGGGATCAGAGCAGCAAGACTAAAAGATGGGTCAGAGGAGGAGCGTGGAAAACCATTGTGAACACACATATATAAAATGACACCATAGGTGAGTGGCAATTGATTCTCTGCTCACACTGCTAAAAGTAATTTGCTTCTGCTTCAAAGTGGTTTGCTTGGTTTCTACAGTGAACTCTGCAAAAACCTCTGCAGCCTGCAGCTACAGAAGATAACAGTAAGTAGAACCTATTGCCTGTCCATGCAAATAGATTCCTAGTCCATAAGAATGCTCCACATTAGTCTACAAGAGCCTCACTTCCACAGTTCCACAGTGGAACTCTTAATTTAGAAATTTTTCCAAGATTGGCTTGGAAACAAGGCACTAAAGGATTGTTTTCATGTGCCTGGACATAGTTTCAAAATAGAAAAAGAAAGTGAGGAAGAGCTGGAAAAACAGCAGTTAAAATTTTTCTATAGAAGAAGAGTGACATCCTCTGTCCCTTGAAGGAATCCTGATGGACACTGATGCAGACAGGCACCATCCTCTCCTAACTAGACCTTAACTTCACTGGTGTTTGTGTCATCATAGTGTTCAGATGATTCCTCTCAAAGATGTCTTTCCCATATTCTTCCTTTACCTACAATAAAATGCAGCCCAAGAAATTGTACCATCCAGAAGTCTGGCCTCACTATCGGCCCACTGCACAAGTTAAAGGGTTGGAAGAGATTTGAGGCATTAAGTTTCACATTCACATTGTAGCACAACCAAATTTCATGATTTACAGGACTTTTACATTTCTCTGTAGGCAAAATCAAAATGATGGCCCTGACAGGTCTAGCTCAACCGGGAATGAGACTCAACAAGTTCCTCTGGCACAGGAGAAACCACCCTATGTTGTGAGAACTGTAGAAACTTGTTGAGAAAAAGGTCAAAGCCTCAGCAATGCCTGGGTTTCTGCTGAGAGCTAAGGAATTGAAGTTGTCCATGACTCAAGAGGATGTGTCTCTGTGTGTGTATTTAAGTAAATGCCAAACTCATCACTCTGATGCCAATAGGAACCGGGCTGGGGAATTCCTTCCAGTGGCTGGGTCACAGAACTGACCACTTGCGTCTGTAAGGACACACTGCTCTAACCAGGTATCTAGAATGAGAAATAAATGAGGACAACATTATAGCAATTTGATCTTCTGTTTAAACATATATGCAATGGCCTGTGCTCTGGTCTATAATCCGAAACCACTAGTCTCTGGGCAACAAAATCATTTGGGGCAGCATTCAAACCCTCCAGCAGCCAACTTACTTTCCATGATGAACTGGTGTATCACAGTCAGCAGTGCACCAAGCAGCCCTACAGGTGGTGCTCAGGCAGCCATCGGCTCACTGCAATGACAAGGAGGGCATCAGGTCTGCCCAAGATTTTGGCTGTACCTCACATAGGATGCTGATATTGCCAAGTCTCCCATTACCTTGATTTCAGTGGAAATGGTGTCAGGCTGGAGCTAGAGCCCACTTGCTTGTTTGAGAACTGTATGAAAATTTAAGAGCAACTTTTAACTGCTAATCACTGCAGCACATCCAGAGAGAAAAGTGTCTTCAACATTTACACAATGCCTGATTGACTTTGGCTGCCAACAGTCTCTAGCTTAACACCAGGGTAAAAAAATCTGCCAGTAAATTTCCATTTGCATTTTTATGCAACAGAGAAAAGAGAATTTAGCAGTCCTCAAACTTACAATTTTTATTACTAAACTTTTAAGCAACCTTTCTCTAGTACTCCCCATCAGGTCACAGCTTTCCACTCATATATTTTACATATTTCCAGACAGTTAGTTACCAATTGCTATTTCTGTTAAGTTCACCACTTGTGACTATAATTATCAATTTTCTTGTAGTCTGTAGAGATCTAAAAAGTTGTATATGTTTGTATATAGAACATTCTATATATATAATATATATATGTAATGTATATGTTGTATAAGTTTGTTAGTGCACACTGTTAAATGCTTTCTATCAAGATCTACCATGTATGTGGAAAAAAAACTCATCACTTAAAACGTTCAATGAGGGAGGAAAACTTCTTGCCTGGTTGATTTATTGTGAAATGAGGGGGAGTGTGGGATTTTTGAAAGGCTTGACCTGAACACTACTAAAGTCTGTTAGTGAAAGGCATAAAGCTGCAGCATTCCAAGCAACGAGCACAGCATCTGACTGTAAGAAAGACTGTAAGACTGTGACTGGCTGTAAGAAAATCGAGGGCACTGGCTGTCACTGGATGTTGAAATCTTTCTGTGCTTTCACCTTTCCCACTAAGACAGCACCACCTCAAGCAAAATCCTAAGCTTAGATGTATCTCCAACATCACAATCCTCAGCTACAACAGGCCAGATTGGCTGGAAATATTTGTCCAATTTAAAATGCTGTTTGTTCATTTGCATACCTTGTTCCCTCACATTCTTCTTTCCAGGAGCTCTGTAACGATCACATACAAAACCAGATACACAGACCTTCCAACAGCACTCACACCTTTGGGTTTGACCAGATGTTTTTAATCTTATGTCTAGAGCTGTAGATAGATAGAGAAAATGCTTTAAATTAGATTATTTTGAAGCTTGCAGAGTTGGCAAGTCTTCAGTGAAGTACAAGCTATTTTATTAATTAAAAAAAAATTCCTAGAGCTTTAACTTAAATTTTAAATCTTGAATTAAAAGACAGGACAATGGAAATTTTGTTTTGTATAATTACCTGGGGAGTTTTTAAGTTTTTTTACAGTTCTATGGTTCAACTACATACATCAGTTAGACATTCCCTACGGTACCAGAACATAGCTTGGTACATAAATATTTGACAGAAATACTCTATTTACTACACATATTGTATACAATTATCACATAAAACCCCTCTAAAACAGTATATATTCCTTTTCCAGAATCCTTCTCACACCACAGTGTGCGCACTGTATCAAAGATGGGCACACAAACATTTTTTTTTTTCAGTAGAGGACTTAACAAGCAAAGAAACCACTTGGAACTTGAGAGCTGCATGCAGTCTCAGGTCTCCTTCATTCATAAACCATGTGTGTTGTAACACAGGCAAAACCCCAGTTTTTGGTTCATTACACCCCTCAAATACCTTGGGCCATGCCCCCGTACATCCTTTTCCATACCCTAAAGGTGAATTCAAGCACAGCATATTTCAGTCTTGAATAGTTCTCTTGCCCTTGGTATGGTCTTAGTAAGAACACACTCTCTCTCATTAAGGAACAGCGTGTGGCCATTTGTAGTCAACTCTTCATCTTAGGTGTATAAGCAATAGTCACGTAAATGAGTGTTTCCATTCATGTGTTTTGTTTTGTGATTAAATCAACAAATCAAACATTGTACTTTTTTAAATAGCAACAAATATTCAGATTCAGTGTCAAGGAAATGTGGACTTAATATGTGTGGGGTTTGTTAACAAGTCATTACCTGTCTCTCAGAACGAAGGCTAATCTGGGGTGAACCACACACTCCTGTGCTAACCATGTCCTGTTTCCACAGGTATCCTAAATCAGTGTCACAAAACTAAGGCATCTTTAACTGAGGCTGTTTCGAATCCCCAGTAACAAAAAAAAAAAAAAAAAAAAAAGGAGGGGAAGAAAATAAAGGAAAGAATTGATACTAGTTGGTGTAGATCTCTTTTTTTTTCAACCTCTACTCCTAAATTTATTATAGTATCTCAAAAGTGCATGCTTTGTGTAAAGGCTTTGGATGGAGTTTACACTACTCAATCATTCAGGAATACAAAAAAAATGCAGTTGTGGTTGTTGCTGCAGTGGGGTTGGTCACCTCCCTTCCTCCAGCAGCTCCTGCAAGGACAAAACCCATATGCCACTTAGTGATCCCGTGGTTTATTGCAGGGAGCTCACGTGGAGCTCATAACTGCAGTACCAGCTCCCAGGGATATTCCTAACCTTGTACTTGGGCTTCCCAACCAACCAATGGCACCCTTCACATCACTTTCCCTTCAGGTTAAAAAAAGTCACCTACAAGCTGAGGTCTCAGAAGGGCAGAAGTGTGCTCATCAAAGGGCACTTCCCCATAGCATGTTTGAGTTGTTCTGCCGGGAGAGGCTCAAAATGTCAGCAAAAGGTACTGAGCTTCCAGCTCCCTCTTTTCAGCTATGTATTTACAGGAAAAACTTTACAACTCTCTTCTAGATGAAATGCAAGTAGCTTGGGAGAAAGGCAAAAGGACCAAACCAGACCAGATTACAAGTGTCATTAGTTGTCACCTGCCTCTCACCACTTCTAGTGGGCAGGGAGAGAAGGAAAGCTGCAGTAGAAAG